CACGAAGCTACTAGGGGCTCCTGGCATCGCTACTAGGAGCAAGGACGGGCTCCTGGCCTTACTAGTAGGAACACAAAGCTACTAGGGGCTCCTGGCATCGCTACTAGGAGCAAGGGATTCTTCAGACTCTGACGATCTCTGATGGATGCGAGGCTTTGCCGGCCTAAACATCAACGCAGCCTCGAAGGCCTTGTTACGAGATGTTACGAGCAGATTTAAAGCGAAGAGGTCCCAAGGTCTCAACATCCCTTGGATCCACATTTAGACTGGAGTCATCATTCAATCATCATTCAATCATAATGTTATTCAAGCTTCAATCAAACACATCCAGATCTTGACATGAGCTGTCTTTTGTACAATTCTGTATTCTGCAGGAATGCAAGACGCAAAACAGCGATCTGTCCAAGACGGTTTGTACTGCGGCGGTAGCAGGCAAGATCTGAACGCTTCATCCAGGAAAGTGCTTTAGGCTTCAGTAGAGAGATTATATATACAAGAGATTAGCTTTTCAGCTAAGATAATATGATGAACAGCAAGATGGACATTTAATTTCTCCAGTTTCTTATCAATATCTTACTGTTTGTTTGGACTTGTTAGAATACGTTAGACAGATTGTCCTGTTTCTTTTTTTTTGCCCACTTTGAGAGCTACCCTGGAGGCGTTCATGCAACTTTCGCTGACGTGGCTTCGAACCGCCGACGCATTTTTTATTGCACACCTTCTTTTCGGCTGTGTAGATGTGGCTGTGATGCTAGTTGATGGAGATCGCAGCAAACGGTGAAACTGCCCAAACTCAAGCGACCTTGGATGCAGACAACTGGGAAGATAAGTGTATACAACAGAAAGAATAGACACAAAACTGCACAAATAGACACTCTACAAGCTGTTGGACCCCAAAAAGCTTCTGGAACAGAAGGAGGCATGGCCAGGTTCCTGTCTGCATCGGCCTCCGACTGCGCAGAAAACTTGAACAATGAGGTAGGCCAATCTCAACAGAGCAAGAATGGCTGTGACGTTTTGTCTTGGAAGAAAGAGAATGGTCCATATTGCTGAGAGAAGTCAGACAGAGAAAAACCGCTGCAGATGACCTTACGTGCTCAACAAAGCTTTGTTTGTGGAGGCTTACTGTGCTGCAGATTCTTCTGGCCTGGCAGGGTAGCTCAGATGAGCCCTGTGCGCATCAGCGTGACATTCGACGACCCAGCCATCCAGGTTTCGGCCCTGGCGAACATCGCAGGCTCTGCAGCGAATATGCATGCGGCTTGCCCCAGAAGTCATGCGTCTTGGCACTGAAAGGAGTCCAAAAGTTCAATGCTGACGATTGCTCATGGCTCCCACGAAAGGACTTACATCTTTTTTTTAAATTTTTTTTATACTTGCGTGTTGAAGAAGACTTCTGGCACATGACAACTGTTGTACTGCCAAGTCAGCGAATATGGGACGACCCCGGTAAGCACCCTCAATATGTTCTCCTATGTTTCCTTTTTTTGGGGGTGTAGGACAAGAAGAACTGGTAACGAGGTAAGCTCGCTTAGCTTAAGTACCTACTAGGCTTGCCGCGTCGGCGCAGAAGCTCTCGAGTTTTCATGATTGATTTCGTGATATGTTCAGGGACACTTGACATTTGGACATGTTTGATCCTTTTTGTAAGCAGCTTGTGAATCTGCAAGCTCAACACATGGTGAGTGTGATCTCTCTATATTTCTGCTGAGAAATATCTACATCTTCTTGCGCATGCACATAGTAGTCGCGATGGCCTCCAACCTAATAGCGATGGCCTCCAACCAAAGGGACATTAAGTTTTGATTTGTCATTCTCCTCGATGTAGCCGAAGCATCCTGCAGTTGAACATCCGTGATGAGATCGGCATCAATATTGACCGACGGCT